TTGAATATGAGGCCTAGCCTTGATCACCATTACTGAAGTAGGTACGATAAAAAACATAGTCTCGATTATCCATTTTTGAATTCATCATCAATGAGCGTTGGGCAGCAGATTGGATTCAAATTCTGTGAAAACCCCACACATAAGATGGCATCGAGAAATGATTAAGGTCTTTGCATGTTAATAAATGTCTAATTAATACTTTATATAACATTTTCAAGACTAAGGAAAGACCTGCAATAGGCAGATTTACCTCTTGCATAATGTATGTTAATCTATACATATGTAATTATTTCATTAAGATCATTTCTATGTAAGTAAGTTTCATGCGACTCGCACATATTTATACCTACAATTTGATGAGGTCTTTTGAGATTAGACTGAATTACATTGGTATTATCCCATTTATTTATTATGTTTAAGAGTTTATTTACTTTTATACTATATAAATTGTATCTAGAGACACTGTATCTGTTACAGATGTAACTAATATTATTACAAGTATTGGAAGAACTTCCATGTAAGGCATGACGGGCATGCATCTCGATACATTCATTATTATTTTGAATTGAGCTAATCTACCGTTTTACAACTCGTTTATAAAGCTGAAGAACCTCTACAGATAAATCCTGACTAATTAAGGGAATAGGGACATTACGTGTAGGATATGGAATATCTCACAACACAAGTGCAGAAAAATCTTTCAATGGACCCATCAGAGAAATCTCACAGCTGACAACCATAAAGTAGCATACAGTAAGTTTTAAATAACTTATATTTTATATTTAATAAGAGAGAGAGAGAGAGAGAGAGAGAGAGAGAGAGAGGGGGGCTGGGGCTAACCGTCACTTCGGGACTATGAGGTGTTTTCAGAAACTCATATCACTATTTATTGCTGCTTGTAGAATTTTAGGAAAAATAGCAATACCAATGTTATTCATATATTTGTCACTTCACACTGCAAAACAAATATGGGAAATTAACTATCAGAATTCAATATCTAAGCCTAAAGGCATACATGTACATTATTAACTGATAACATCCTTACTGGAAAACAGTGTCTACATTCACAGACAAATAAAGCAATTCTACTAAATTACAGTAATGAAATAATTAACTCAAGCTATGATGATGATTATTACGTTATTTAATGTAAGCTTACTATGTGTAAAATGGTAGTGGCAGTAGTCACTATGTGTTAGATCAATGAGAGAGAGAGAGAGAGAGAGAGAGAGAGCGTTTAACTCCACTCCACACAAACTAGGACATAGACTAACATTATTTCAATAAATCGCTTGCACATAGAGGGTCTTTAGCAGTGAGGGGAAACTGGAGGACCCGGAGAAAACCCATGAGATTGAACAGGCGACCCTACTCCTTGTCATGTACAGAATTTGACTGAAATTTTCAATATTTTCTTTTTTATCATCTATTGTTGAATTATTATAGCAAGAATGGCCAAATCTTTATTAAACTCTTAAAGGAGCTAAATCGCTAATATTTGGGATCTAGAAATTGACAAAAGTGGGTCGCAACGCATATAATACTGTAATATGAATGTATATTAACTGATTTACATTCAATGGTTTCCGTTTTTACTCCAATTTCAAATCAGTTATGTTCAGCGAAATAAGCCAGCTGTCTCAAGCGAGTGCAAATTTCTAGCGTCTGGTTATTCCAGTCTACATACGCTGTTTGATTTGGTGCAATGTGTCTAGCCTTGTCCCTCGAGTCTCTTGATACAACTGGGGCTGAAGCGCATTATGGTACACGATTCGTGTACCAATGGTAAAATGTTTATTTTGTCTTAAATATTGGATATCAAAAGCCCATTTTTTTCCGGAAAGATCACAACATGAATGTTGATTTATATTGACAAATAATTCGTGTTTTCAATGTTGAAGATTTTGGATGATATTGAGTTAGAGACTTAGCTACTTTAACTAACGTTTCTTTAACTTGTAATTAATTAGCCAATCAGAAATATTTCACCGTGGATAGAACCCGGATGCAGTAATTGTTTCCTCACTGTCAAATCAATAGGGGTCTTCCATTCTGTTCTATTTATAGTAACTGCGACTTATTATCACCATGTGGGAAGAGGAAGATTGTATTAATTGTCTATTATCGTCAGACATTTTGAAATAGAAACCGCCTGAAATGAACTAAATATAATACTTGGAATATATATAATTCAAGACAGTTCTACACTCTGCATTAATAATATTATGTGGTACAAATGGGGTTTAAATGAAATGAAATGAAATGGGGTTTAACGTCCTACTGTTCTGCTCCTAAACTGGGCTAATGAATATGGGCATACACCATACAGTGTGCTATGAGGGAAATTTTGCCAGGGCAGCAGCACTATCGCCTACTCTTATATCGAATTCCAACTGCCAAGGGATCTTTTACGTGCAGGCCAATATGTACACAGGACCTCGGTTTTTCGTCCCATCCGAACGACTAGACAGCTGTCCTTGTCAGGCCCTCCGTCCTGCATCACTGACAAGGGGAAACCACGCCGGAAAACCTGAACTTTCTCGGCCAATGCAGGGATCGAACACCCGACCTCCAGGCTAGCGAGCCAGCGTCTTACCCACTTAGCCACGTGATCCCCCAAATGGGGTTTAACATCCTATTGTCAGCATAAACTGGGTTAATATGAACATGTGATGCAGTATGCTATGAGGTTGCCCAGAACGTAGCATTTCCATCTACCCATCACCAAATTCAAGCTGTAAAGCAATGATGGATGTTAAAAGTCATTGAGTATTAATTTACAAATTCAAAGATAAAGATTCTTAAAAAAAAAAAAAAACTTAACCTCCTTGTACAAAGTTGTAAACAAACTGTCCTAGAGGTGGTGCCAGATGCACGAAGATATGTATGGAAGAGGGTAAAGGAAAGTAATTTGTGTTAGAGAGAGAGAGAGAGAGAGAGAGAGACCTTACAGTGATAAGGTCCTTCTTTTCTGAAACCAACTGAGCCAATGAGAGAGAGAGAGAGAGAGAGAGAGAGAGAGAGAGAGAGAGATGGGCTTTAATGTCCACTCAACACAAATTAGGTAATTTTGGGACTAACATATGGTTCAATTTTATTTGAATAACTCACTTGCGAGTAGGGGTCTTTAGCAGTGTCACGTACAACCGGGGAATCGAAACCACTATAGATGACTGAATGACAGATCTTATGATGCAGCGTGCACACGGTAACCATTCGGCCAACCAACCCCCCTCACAGTAATTTCTACCAAAAGATGCTTTGGTGTAAAAGTAATAATGGAACAAATGAAGTTTTTTCTTTATTATTGACATCCTTTTCAAATTGCCCCCCCCCCCCCAAATATTCAAATTGCCTCACATTGGGAATCACTGCTGTAAAGAGTTCTGTTGTTATGATTATTGATTAGATTCTTTTCCTGTACAACTGACAACGCAAATGCACAACGGAAAATCCTGTGGAACTGTCTCAGCCAAGATCAGTTACTTAGCCAGCACCATACTGAATGTGCACTGTGACTCCTATCTAAGATTACAATAATATTCTATCACTTGATTATCAATACAAGACTGCTATAGATAGATTTGACAGATATTCATGTTCTTATATCTGTATCTCATCTGTATCTCTATATTAAAGTAGATAAAGTACAAGTACATCTTTGTTTACGGAAGATAAATGCATAAATAAATAATAAAAATACGTCCAGGTAAAAAATTCACCACTTTACTTCATTCTGACATACATTAAATCATATAAGCTAGATGTTTGCCCCCCCCCCCCACCCCTATCGGCGGCTTCAGATATTAATAATGTATATTTCTATGAATGAATACAAAAAACATTGTAAAACTTCTACTTCATATTGATTTATACCCTGTAAAATATGGTAGTTGCAATTCTTAATATCTGTTTTTGAAAGGTAAATATAATAATTCTAATATGTAAAGTGTACATGTTATAATGCTGTTAAAATGTTGAACCAAAAACTATGCCAGATTCTCTAAGATGTAAATCACTCATAGAAGTCTCCATCAACCGTTGAAATACGAGAAGTGCAGTAGTTAAACCAAAGGGCATGGAATTATACTAAGAAACATTGCATAATTTTAAATATATGACAGAAAATATAGGTTCTATAAGTATTCGGTGTTATGTAAAAAGTCAATATTGTACAAATCCCCATATAAATGTTAGGTGCACAATAGTTGTTTTTTAAGAACAAAATGAAGAACCTTTAACATCGATTTTTACTTAGTTTACAGGCAATGCCAGTTTTTGTCATCCATATCCCCACTTACAGATATATGTGTATTTAATCCTCTTATATGAACTTGGTAAAGTGAAAAGAAATGTAAATTTGAATGTGGAGTTGAATGACCGTAAACATTGAATGTTGAGTTCTAAATGGCTGTGAACATTTCAGCTTGCTGCTATATAATACAATACAAAGATAGGTTTCATGCTAAATAGAAAGTGTTTAAAAACAATCTGAATACATAAATATTAGGATATATTCTCTCAAACAAAATGAGGGAAATAGACATATATATATAAAACAATAGTAAATGTATAGGAAGTGACTTCAGATATAAACCTACTTGTACCAGATCATTCTAGTTGAGAGATGGGGTTTAATATCTACTCAACACAAACTATGTCATTTTCGGACTAATATATGGTTCAATTTTATTTCAATCAATCGCTTTGCGCATAAGTGTCTTACGCAGTGGGAGGACCTGGAGAAAACCCACGAGGTTGGACAGGCGACCCTACTCCTTGTCACGTACAAGCAGGGAATCTACACCACGCCACTTGACTCCATGACAGACCTTATGATGCAACCTGCACGCATAAACCATTCGGTCACCCACTCCCCCTCTAGTCGAGAGACCCCATTTAACTTTCTTAAAAAGTGGACTACGTTCAACAGTGGGATTGTGCCAGACAAAACCTAAAATTGCCAATGGTAAGTGGCCAAGTAGAAAAACTGGACTTACTAGAAGAATATCCGAATTCATCTTCGGAATCACTCTCACTACCTGCCTCCATTGGTTGGTCTATACTAACAGCTTTCTGTAATGGGATAAAATATATGTAAATGTACATGTCCCTTTAATCTAAAATAATTTAGGCAATGTGCACCATGATTAAAACACAGATCCTTTGTGAAGGTCCACAAAGATGCGACAGTATGTTACTCATTCCAAGAAACAATTTTGGACATAACGTATATAAATGTATGCTTGTATTCATTATTAATCATTGCTTGATAACTATATGAGTATTGAAATCTTACATATAATAAACTAAAAAGCAGTAAATCCATAAAGTTGTGTTATAATTGATAATAGTTATCTCATTTAGAATGTGACAAAAGGCTTTGATAACAGAAATTAAGATTCATATAAAGTCAAATTTCAACAAAGTTACTCCATACTGCAAACCAAACAATCCCGGAATGTATGTTTTACTCCAAGACTGATCTGCAGAGTGTTTGCAATAATTGTGAACAGACAAATTGGGGTAATGCCAATATACTTCCACATAAAATGCGGGCAATTAAAAATAATTATCTTTTATTCTAACATTAACTGTTTTCATTTCGAAATCATTCGAACCATTTTAATCCATATCTATCTGTCCACATTTAATTATTTTTCCAGCACTGTTCTCCAGGCAATTAACCTTATTCTATACAAAAATTCTATGCAACAAGACTTACCGGTACAGGATTTTCAACAGGTGCTTGCGAACTTTGTACAGGGTTCACAGTTGAACTGTGGACTTCTTCAAAGGAATGGACTGATTTTAATTCAGCTGATTCAAGGTCACCAGGCTATAAATAAAAACAAATAAATTTTACTTCAATCAGCTGGATCAATGTTAGTCAAATACACATTCTATTTAAGTTCAGATCGATTTTCATTATATTAGTAGAATATGACCAGAATTTTTACTCTTATTTATTTGAAGCAAGTAATTAATCAATCAAATGCTATGATCAATTGAACTTCAGTAAATCGTTGAGATCACGGAGAAGAAACTGAAACACAACTGTCTGAAACTGATCTTATAGGTTACTTAAAATGTCAATGATATAGGCCAATTAAATCAGACCTGAGATGCAGCCATCAAATTTGAGAAAAATCAAAAAAAAATCGTAAATCTTTTAAAATTTTAAAATCCAATTTATATTGAAGCCAAGCCTGGAAATAAGGCACCTGTCACAGACAATGTCGGTTATTAAGGCTTTGTCAGGCACAAAACCTCTAGTGCCTGTCACTGATTTGTCTTTTTATGGATATTACTAATATGTGTCTTTGTCTTTTTTATTGATATTATTAACATGTGTCCAGCACTAAGTTGAAAATGTCAGGTACCCTTTCATTAGTACATCTTAAACCGTTATTTCCAGGTCTGATTGAAGCAAACATATAAGTACAATCTACTTTTGTAATAAATTAATATTATTGGAAATAATATATCGATCTGGGGCCTGTTTCACAAAAATTTAACTAAGATAAAATCCAAATTTTTGTAATTTGATTGGATAATATTAGATTGATTTTAGTGCTTAGCCAATCAAAACTGAAGTATCTTCTAAAATTTGGATTTTATCTTTAGTTAAAATTTCGTGACACAGGACCCTGATTAAAAGAAATTTTATTTTGCTTTAAATGGGGGGGGGGGAGGGAATAATGGCTGGGGATAGAAACTTCTTCAGCCCATTCATCTCCCTTTTTGTGTCTCCAAATCCTACATCTTTAAACAACTTCAATAAAAGGTTTATCATTATGAAACAAAATATTTAAACACCAGCAGTAAAGGATGACGACAACTCTCGTAAAGTGTAGTCTGAGATAGCTGGAGACTAATGATCGGAAGACATCTACATTGGGATCTCAGCGATACAAATTATTTGTTATTTCAGAGGGGGAATTAAATACAGATTAGTGCGACATAAATATTAATTGAGTATTTCGATTCTTCCATGTAGCAATTTGTGCTCAAATTGTCAAAAAAAGCTAAAATACTGAATTTCTATTATACAAAAAATTAATCAATAATGTTCGTCTTTCACAGCTAATATGCACAAATGATTGTTATCACGCTATTCAGTGTTTAATTATCATTCTAACATTGCCAATTAAACCATTCTATAACAGTAAACAATTTCTTGAACTGGTTTACTGGTTTATACATGTCATTTGGTAAGAGAGAGAGAGAGAGAGAGGGGGAGGGAGAGAAAGAAAGAAAGAGAGAGAGAGAGAGAGGGGGGTTTAACGGTCACTCAACACAAACTCTGTCATTTTGGGACTAATATATGGTTTAATTCCAATTCAATAATTCGCTTGCGGATAGTGGTCTTTAATAGTGAGAGGAACCCGGAGAATCTAGAGAAAACCCACGAGGTTGGACAGGCAAACCCTCCGTCTTGTCATGTACAAGTAGGGGAATCGAAACCATGCCACTTGATTCAATGACAGACCTTAATCATTTAGCCACACAACCCTGCTATACCATTTTGAGACAAAAATGGTCATAAAAGAACCTTTTAAGGAGAATACAGCATTCAAAAATGAAATGAAATGGGGTTTAACATCCTACTGTTCTGTTCCTAAACTGGGCTAATAAAGACGGGCATACGCCATACAGTGTGCTATGAGGGAAATTTTGCCAGGACAGCGGCGCTACAGCCTACTCTTATATCGAATTCCAACTGCCAAGGGATCTTTTACGTGCACGCCAATATGTACACGGGACCTCGGTTTTTCGTCCCATACGTACGACTAGCCAGCTGTCCTTGTCAGGCCCTCCGTCCTGCATCACTAACAAGGGGAAACCACGCCGAAAAATCTGGCTGAACTTTCTCGGCCAATGCAGGGATTGAACACCCGACCTCCAGGCTAGCGAGCCAGAATCTTACCCACTTAGCCACATGATCCCCATACAGCATTCATGTTCTACGCCCTTCATCTATATACTACCATTAAATTTCGGATTCTGATTCACGTATAAAATATGAGGACCCGGCTTATAGTTCAATTAAGATAATGCTAACTCTATCATTGGTCAGACTATATTGACAAGACAAATAACGGTTGATGAATGAATCAAGATGTTATTAATAACGGTAGTAATATTGTCTAGTGGCGAGAAGATGTTTTATCTACCACTTGTTCCCAGCTTGTCAAATACTGGACCACGCTTTGTGCCTATCTTCATTAATAACCTCTTTAGATGTGGTCACACCGACCATAAATCTATCAAGAATTGTTGGTTAAGGGACGTTATTGATTGATATGGAAGCACTGTGATGTGAATTTTGAAACAAGAGAATTTACCATCTTCAAACCGACTTTAAGTCATATAAATGACCTTACTCAGACCAAATTTCTATCAATTGGAATGGATTGATAGGTTTCACAACTGAAGAGGCATTTAACTTACATTACATAACCTCAGAAAGCCCTTCTTGTCATGGCCTAGATATCTAGTAATGACTTAAGACACAGATTCAATAAATGAAACTGTAATATCTGTCACGACACACTAAAAATCAGGAAGTTTCTAGTAGGAATTAAGTTCAGTGTCCTTACCGAATCACAAGCACAGAATCTGAACTATGACATTTACAGAGTCAATCTGTAATATTCTTCACAACAAACTGCAAATCAGGAAGATTCTAGTAGCGATTAAGTTCAGTGTCCTTATCAAACCACAAGCACAGAATCCGAACTATGACATATTTAAAGAGTAAAACTGTAATATTCTTCATGACATACAGCAAATCAGGTAGATTCTAGTACCAATTAAGTTCAGTGTCCTTACCGAATCACAAGCACAGAATCCGAACTATGATATTTACAGAATGAAATCATTTAGTTGTTTTAGATTAAATACTAGAGAATGGATTGAAAGTTTTCCTCACCGAAGAGGCATTTAACTTTACATGACATAACCTCAGAAAACCCTTTCATATGATATTCGTTATGACTTAAAATTGTAATATTCTTCTTAGCACACTGCGAGACTTCCTCCAGGAAGACTAGTGTAGAAAGTTCAGTGTCCTTTCGAAATCACAAGCACGGAATCCAAACTATGACATATTTACAGAATGATTTCATTTAGTTGTTTTAGATTAAATACTCACACAAGCTGAATCAGAAAGACTTTGGACAACAAATGTTACAGGAGATTTTGCATGTCGTATAACTTCCACGGCTTCATCATGAGTAGAATTGCGCACATCTTCACCATTAACCTGTAAACAGTACAAACATTTCTAAGTCAACTTTTCAATAAATTGATTTTTTTATCAGGCAGATTAAAACTGTTGAATAAACTGTCTTCTTATCGGATTAAACTAGTTTAGTTTTTTCAAATTTCCTAAATAGTTTCAAAATGGGTTATGAAGGTGGAGGGGTGGAGGGGGTGGAGGGGGGAGGAGGAGTGAGGGGGGAATGGTGTTTGAGTGTATCATGAAACCAGCAAAATGAAAATAGTTTTTGAATTTAGTTTAAAAAGAGAGAGAGAGGGATTTAACGTCCACTCGACACAAACTAGGTCATTTCGGGACTAACAGATGGTTCAATTTTATTTCAATAAAAGGGGTCTTTTAGCAGCAGGAGGACCCGGAGAAAACCCATGAGGTGAATTTAATTTAAAATCCTAGTTCTATGCTATCCAATTTGTCCTAATATTAGATATCAGTGGTTCATAACATTATTTTAGACAATCGGGTGTCTAAGTTTGTAACTATATCCACACTAACAATACACGTTATATAGCCTAAGAATTCTTCAACAACATTTCCCAAACTGATCATGATCAGCAGTAAATATTCGCTTTGCTGCTACTATCATTGAAAGACATTGGGGCGAGGTAGTTAGATCTCAATATCAACCTTTTTTTTTCTTCTGCAAGATACAGGTAAAAGCCTTTTTAACAGTCACTCATTCTTGCAATGTTTAATATTCTTAAAATAATAGAAAGATAATAAAAACACCATCAGGCATTTTATGGAGAACATATACATTTTTATGTAAATGATAAAATTATATACGTTACCTCTAAAATTCTATCACCAGTTTTTAATGTTCCATTCCTGCCAGCAGGACTGTCTTCTAATACATGTTTTATAAATATTCCTGATATCGTATGATCTTCAAGTAAATTAAACAAATCCACACGCCCACCTACAATTTGAAGTATGTATATCCATTACATTAATAATACAGAAATAACTCGATTCTTTTACCGTTAATGTGTACCTAGGATATGCCAGTAGCACATTTTAAACAACTACAGTTTTGTTTTATAACTGCCACACGCTTACAAGTATCAACAATTTCACAGATTTTTACGAGGCCACATTATGAAGCAGTGTTCTGGTTTATATCAAGTTGCCTGCTGGAGAACTGCACAATAAAACAGAGAAAGAACAAATGATATACGAGTACAGCAGAGACAGTACAATTAGAAACACATTCCAAGAGAAAATACCAGTACCTGGCAAAAGATAAACAAATTAAAGTCTGTTTTACTTTAGAGTATACAAATACTTAACTTATCAAAGATTTTACATGATATTATATAAAGAAGCAAAAGTGGTTTAACAACTTTTGTTTTAAATATATGTTGATATTTTTTTTTTGTTTTAAAACATCTACACACTTATAAACTTTATCGATTGTTAAACTATGTTAAACTATGTACCAGCGGGAAGTTATAGTATTTAAAACAATGCAGAATAACTGAACAAAAATGATTTCAGCACATTGTACAGATAGTACAACTTGATAAACATCACTGGTAAATGTTAAACATTTTAAACTCTTGAATGGAAACATCACTTAAACTTATCATCAATGATATGACATAATTGTTATAAATGTTAGGTGCGGGCTACAATCTAGAGCAGACTGCACAACAAACACAGACAAAATAACATGATTTATGTTCAAGGCCTAACTACAAGTAGGTACAATATTACTAATAACTGTACAAAGATGTATTTAGTCTACAATACAGGAAAACACAAATAGGATCAGACTAAAAAAAAACCATGATAACTCCACAAAACGGACAATAAGTCCACATTCTCATAGAAGGTTTAACTTTCTTGAAAAACACTTCAAACTGGGGTGGGTGGGTTTGGGGGGGGGGGGGGTACTGGTTTGAAAACTCCACAAAACGGAAAGTAAGATCCACATTCCCATAGAAGATTTAATTTTCTTGCAAAAACACTTCAAACTGTTTTTGTTTTTTGCTTTGAGAACTGAAACCCTCCTAATAAAAAAACATGATAATTCCACAAAACGGATAAAAAGATCCACATTTCCATAGAAGATCTAACTTTCTTGCAAAAACACTTCAAACTGTTTTTTTTTGTTGTTATTGGTTTGAGAACTCTAACAAATATTATCAATGGTTTTATCACAAGATACTGACTGTACAAGGAAGTTGTCTGGTTCTCTAAGTTCCTGGCCAATGATAAGGAAAACTCGGATCAAGCTCTGTGGCATTTAAGAAGAGATTTATCCTATTTGACAGGTCAACAAATTTATCATCAATCATAATTTGTTGTAGAAATAAACATCTTGACATTCTGTTCTATTTATTTTCTTTTTCTATTAAGATTTTTTTTTTGTCATTTTTGTCACTGAATTTAATTCTTTTTTTTTTCCCATTCATATGTTTGTGAAAAATTACCGATTAGCAAGAAAACAGATTGAATCTGATGTGTTAGGTTTATTGGAGTAGGTTGAATATATCTCTACTCTACATAAAGAACTTCATGTCTTTAGATTCAGTCTTTTTTGAGGCATGCATGTTTAAAGTGAGGATGTGGGTTTTTTTTTGTTAGTCTTTTGTTACCAAATTTACTTCCTTTTTTTCTTTATTCATGAATGTGGAAAATTAAGCTGGAAAACCATTCATATTGAATCTGATGTGTAGGGTGAACATCTCTTTGCTTCATGTTTTAAGAGTCAGTTCAGTTTGAGGTATGTGCGGTCAAGTTGACGATAGATAGTTAATGTTGAAAATAAAAACCAAAAGACGTTGAATTAGATTGAAAATCTCTCTTCATCTTGATCACTTTCACATTAAATATATTTACACAAAGTCGTAGGGAGGTTTCTAAATTACGGATCACTAATTGAAACAGCAGATCACAAGCATCAAATCAAAACATAAAATTTCTTAGTAGTAGATTTCCTCCTCCCTAATTGAAACAACACAAGCCTGTTCTTTAAGATGTAATAAAATCAACATCATAAAACATTAATTCCATTATCTATATATTAAAAGAGAGAGAGAGAGAGAGAGAGAGAGAGAGAGGGGGAGAGAGGGAGGGAGGGAGGGTTTAATGTCCATTCCACACAAACTAGGTCATTTTAAGACTAAAATATGGTTCAATTTTATTTCAATAATTCGCTTGCGCTTAGGTCTTTAGCAGTAGGTGGAAACCGGAGGACCCGGAGAAAACCCACGAGGTTGGACAGGTGACCATCTTCCTTGTCACGTACAAGCAGGGAATCAAAACCACGTCACTTTACTCAATGACAGACTTTCTGATCCAACACGCACGTCCCCCCATCCCCGATCCCCCACCCCCAAACTATATATATATATATTAAGAAATGATGTAAATACTTTCTTACCTACGATACTGATGCCTAAACTTTTTCCTGGTTCTCTGACCAATTGTACCGCTCGAGGGGAGCCCCATGCTTGTACTGCTGGTGAACCATCTGCTTTCAGGGACTTCTGTCTTGGTGAAATCTGTTCTTTTGAGTCATCCTGACTCACTGACACATCTTCTGGTGGGATGATAATTTTTGCTGGAGACGTTGGAGGGGTGGATACTAGCATAGCTGATGACGGTGATAGAGATGGACTGAAACATTATTAAAAGAATGTTTATAAAATAAACTTTACATCCTATTTCTTTTCGTTTTTCAAATTTCATTTCATTTGCCTTCAAAGGGACCGAGTTTTTAGAACTAGAGATGGACTGAAACATTATTAAAAGAACTTTTATAAAATAAACCTTACATCCTATTTCTTTTCGTTTTTCAAATTTCATTTCATTTGCCTTCAAAGGGACCGAGTTTTTAGAACTAGATGTCCATATCATACTATTGTATATAAAACTGTAAGTCCATTAGGTGCACCGTCTTCATTAGCCCAGTATAGGTGCAGAACAGTAGGACGTTAAACCCCATTTCATTTCATTTCATTTCCATTATGTTCAATCTGATTAGAATACAGATCTATATTCTGTTCCGTTTTTTATACTTTTGATGGCCTACACTACATGAAGATCTGACCAGTTGTTGCGATAGTTCACATCAGAGGTCATACGAGCGGCAAGTGAGCCTGACATCAGACATTTGATTAACCAATCAGCATAAGTGTTACTAGTAGATTGCCCACAGTTCCGTGCATGGCACGCCAAGAAGTCGCTGTAACAGACCTTTTCATTGGCTTATCCTGCACTTCACTCAAAACGCCGGTAATCTAAGAACTCTTCCAGCTCCTAGTGTAGTAAAGACAAGTAAAACGAAATTTTGAACTATAAAAACGAAACAAAATAGGATTTGTCTTTTAATCAGATTGCATTAGGTGAATCTGTATGTCCATATTATAATATTGTATATAAAACACTAAAACTATAAGTCCTTGACATACATCATATTTAAAACTATATGTCCTTATGTTCGATTTGGACATATAACACACCAGTATATAAAACTATTTACTTTATGTTTCATATGGACATATAATGCTGTCATATGTTTATATGGACATATAACAATATACTTTGTATATGAAACTAAAAATCATACTTTGTGAGAGAAAGAGAGAGAAATGGGGTTTAACGTCCACTCGACACAAACTAGGTCATTTTGGGACTAACATATGGTTTAATTTTATTTCAAGAATTCGCGTGCATGTAGGGGTCTTTAGCAGTGGGGGGAAACCCTACTCCTTGCCACGTACAACCGGGGATTCGAAACCACGCCAGTTGACTAAATGACAGGTTTTATGATACAGCGCGCGCACGCTAACCATTCAACCATCCACCCCCCCATCATACTTTGTATATAAAACTATAAATCCATACTTTGTATATAAAACTATAAATCCATCCCACTTTGTATATAGAACTATGCTTTGTATATAGAACTATAAATCCATACTCTGTATATAGAACTATAAATCCATACTTTGTATATAGAATTATAAGTCCATCCCACTTCGTATATACTATGCTTTGTAAAGAATACTCTTTAATCCATATACTTTGTATATAGAACTATGCTTTGTATATAAAACTAAGGATATTATAAAACTAAAGTCCATTCATTGTACATGTATATAAAACTATAAGTCCATTCATTGTATATAAAACTATAAGTCCATTTTTTGTATATAAAACTAAAGTCCATTCATTGTATATAAAACTTTGCTTTGTATATAAATCTATATGCCACATCATCTTAATTACACACTATGTTATAAGTGGTATATGTCTATATCATATACTTCTCATATATAACTTTAAGTACCATTACTTGCACGCTCCTGAAGAAACGTCCGCGAGTTTTACAACATCTAGCTTGATAAGATGTTCGTAGTCAAGGCGAGATCAAGCCTTCTATTAAAGTACCATTATGTGAATCTATATCTCCATATCATACTTCTTATAAAAGAACCATTGGTACCATATTACAAATTCACTTATCACACTTCAAATATGAAACTATATGTGGATAATATTGAAAACCTAGTATTTCTAATCTTCAAAATTCACAAATTAACATACACTGGTTACCTCTAATAAAAACGGCAGTGCATTTCCGCAGTTTTGTATTGTTTCTGAATATCCCCTACTTTTTTTGAAGAGTATATTTCTAATCTTTAAAATTCACACAGGTAACAACTCATCTTAGTACCTACATCCGTAAAGAAAATTTGATGTCAATTTTTGTTTAAGGAGATCCCATCGCTAACAAACTATTTATCTTACACATAATATAATATAGAATAAGGAACACCCAGATCTGAAGATTAATTTGTTTTTCAACTTTTTACACTCCAGTCAGAAATGCTGTCAGATATCATTGATTTATCGGACGCAATGCTTGCCTCACCACAGATTTCATCACAGAGAATAGGAAACAAAACTTAGATACTGTATGATCAATGCGATTAAAATGAAATATAGATCTGTATTTTTAACTGATTACTGTATGATTTAACTGTTCTATAATTAAAGTAGAATGAATAGAATTACTAGATTACCCTACTACGTCTAGACGATGTATATCTTCTCAAACAACAAAAACAACTATTAAAAGAAGCTTTGATGTCTGTAATTGTCATGATATCATATTTCAAATTAAACTTCAGTCTTGTTTAGTACCTACTCGATTATAAAAAGAGAAAGAGAGAGAGAGATGGGGTTTAATGTCCAATCCACACAAACTAGGTCATTTCAAAACTAACATATGGTTAAATTTTATTTCATAATTCGCTTGCCTGTAGGGGTTTTTAGCAATGGGAGGAAACCGGAGGACCCAGAGAAAACCCACAAGGTTGGATAGGCGACCCTTCTCCCTGTCACGTACGACTGGGGAATCGAGACCATGCCAAATGACTCAATGACAGACCCTATGATACAACGCGCACGCGCTAACCATTCAGCCATCCAATCCTCCCTTTTAAAAGAAACTTTGATGCCTGTGATTGTTATGATATCGAGAGAAAGAGAGAGAAATGGGGTTTAACGTCCACTCGACACAAACTAGGTCATTTTGGGACTTACATATGGTTTAATTTTATTTACATAATTCGCTTGCGCGTAGGGGTCTTTAGCAGTGGGAGGAAACCGGAGGACCCGGAGAAAACCCACGAGGTTGGACAGGCAACCCTACTCCTTGTCACGTACAACCAGGGATTCGAAACCATGCCAGTCGACTCAATGACAGACTTTATGATACAAAGCGCACACGCTAACCATTCAGCCATCCAATCCTCCCTTCTAAAAGAAACTTTGATAACATATTTCAAATTAAACCTTGGGGGTTTGGATGGCTGAATGGTTAGCCTGCGCGGGCTGTATCATAAAGTCTGTCATTGAGTCGACTGGCGTGGTTTCGAATCCCCGGTTGTACGTTACAAGGAGTAGGGTCGCCTGTCCAACCTCGTGGGTTTTCTCCGGGTCCTCCGGTTTCCTCCCACTGCTAAAGACCCCTACGCGCAAGCGAATTATGTAAATAAAATTAAAAAACCATATCAGGGTTCCCGCGGCTTCGTCAAACATTTTTTCAAGGATATTCAAGGATAAATATACATCAAATTCAAGGATTTTCAAGGACATTTTTTAGCCTAAAGTTACAATTTTACATTTTAAAAATAACCAAAATATTACCAACTATTGTTATAATCTCATATTTAAAAGGGATTGAAGACATTTGAAACAAAATTAAGGATCTCAACTGAAATTCAAGGATATTTTCCTATTTCCGCGAAATTCAAGGATATTCAAGACCTTGAAAATGAAATTTTAAATTTAAGGAGATTCAAGGATTTTATAGGACCGCGGGAACCCTGCATATGTTAGTCCCGAAATGACCTAGTTTGTGTCGAGTGGACGTTAAACCCCATTTCTCTCTCTCTATCTCAATTTAAACCTTAGTCTGGTTTAGTATCTACTCAGATTATAAACTTAATCTATTTTCTTGCTCACATTTTAAAGGTCATTAGGGTTACAATCGCTGTTTATGGGATCATTTCCTTCATAAACTTTCCTCTCTTATTAGGATGTCATCATAATTTGTGCTGCTTGTAGGTTGAATCAATATTTTAACTCAAACTATCTAAATCATTTCCCTCAAAATCAATGGATGCAGAAAAAAGTCTCGAACCTAATCATCTAACTAATAGTCTTCCTCCGTACATGAATATAAACATGCAACTAGATTCAACCTTCAGAACACCCGAACTTGGCGACCCTTCTCTTTGTCACATACAGCCGGGGAATCAAAACCACGCCAGTTGTCTCAATGTCCATTCGACACAAACCAGGTCATTTCGGGACTAACACATGGTTCAATTTTATTGGGAGATGCTAAATGAGAATTTATTGAATACTAACCCTAACTTTTTTTAGAAGACTGAACTTAGATTCAATTTACCTATTAGCCCTCTTAAAAGGGTTAGGGTTAGGGGTCGGGTTAGTATTTATATAAAGCGGCCAGGTCGGGTTAGTATTACCCAACCTACTTGTTTATATAAAGCGGCCATTTTGGACTCCAGATACACCTAAACATGGCGACCCTACTCCTTGTCACGTACAACTGGGGAATTGAAATCACGCCAGTTGACTCAATGACAGACCTTATGATACAGTGCGGCCATCCAACTCCCCTTTGACAGAAATAAACAACGAATATCAAATCAAGTGAATAGATACATGAGTAAGCCGTAAGAGTCTGTTGCACAGATTAACCCAAACAATACATTACTTATATAAGGGATATCATCCTTTAGAGAAATCTAACGAACGAACGAACGAACGAAGATTTGGTCTTTCCTGTTTGTAGAATGTGAATATTTGTTTCATATAGGAGGGAGCAGTATCCGAAAACAAAGCTATATACACATTTGATAGCACTTTAAAAGTAGATCCAGGCTTTCACAGGCAGCCAATGGTGAACTTCAAAGTCTTTAACTCAATATCATCTACAGTCTTTCGACACAGAAAACACGAATTATTTGTCAATTTAAATCAACATTGATGTTGTGATTTTAACGGTTAAAGATGGGCCTCTGATCCATGATATCCAATATTTAAGACAAAATAAACATTTTACCATTTCAGAGTAAAAATGGAAACGACTAAATGTAAATCAGTTTATATACATTCATGTTTCATTATTATATGTGTTACGACCCATTTGTGTCATTTTCTTCGTCCCAGATATTAGCGATTTAGCTCCGTTAAAAGTACACACAGCGAGGAAGGAATAAAAAAAGCTATCAAAAATCCTTGCTTTCTCAACAATATTTGATCTGCAAAGCAAACGGAGCAAATAAATGATAGAGTCATAAAAGCATGATGAATTCAAACATTAATCAATACGTTCCCATCTTCTCGTCCTCCATCACAATATAGTTTGATTAACTAAATCAAAATGAATTGCCAACTAGGACAGCTATAGGTCTATTGCTTTTATACAAACTTATTCTACTAAGGCCAATGTCCTCGACTTCAATTTCATTACATGCTGGAATTTTTTAAAATAAAAACAGACATATTTTTATTGATTTGAATGATGAAAATGACTGACACAGAAATGAATTCATCTTCATCATCTGAGAATTTTTTTATTTCTGATTCGTAGGTGAAGTTTCATCTTATATATTGAACCATTTAATTAATATGTTTTTTCCTTTTATTGTTATATTTAGGTGTTTTGATTTTAGTTTGATAGAAAAGAACGACAAGAATTGTTAACAACGAAAATTCGCAAATAAATTACAAATGGTATCGGTTGAGTTCTAGTAATTGCATCCTTTGCCCTATTTATGAAAATTTGAAACAAAATCATTTTAAGAATACTAATCGTTCATTGGTTTAGCAATAAAATCATTTGACAAATCTTCTTGATGAACTTAAATTATGAAAATGAAATGAAATGGGGTTTAACGTCCTACTGTTCTGCTCCATTAAATTATGGAGATTCGAAAAAAGCATTCTGGTTCTCAGTAGTCTCCGTCATTTTTTTAATAAAAGTTTTTATTTTGTCAAAAGGAGAGAGAGACTAACGCATGGTTCAATTTGATTTCAATAATTTGCTTGCGCGTAGGGGTCTTTAGCAGTGGGAGGAAACTGGAAAATCCAGGAGGTTGAAGAGGTGACCTAACCCTTGTCAGGCCTTCTGATCCAACGCGTACGTGCCCCCCTGTCCAAAAGGTTCACCTGGCTAAATGGCTTATCACAAACCTCATATTTCAAGGTCTACATTTTATTTTATAATTCTCGTATTATATAGCTATAAACTTTACAAAACAATTACTGTACACAAGTTTAGTTACAAATAGTTACTAGCAAATGCTTAATATGTGCATACTTATGGAAAACCAATTACTGATATACTTAGGCGACGTTTTGAAGAGTATGTGTTATAGTTGATTTATCTACCCAATTACTATATGCCACTAAAAGAATAGTAACTAATAGTTGGCATGATTTATGGAGAGATTTTGTAGTTTTAAAGATGGGTTCCCGCTACAAACTGGGTATATATGGACTAAAAACATATTCAAACTAATTAATTTGTCATAATTTTGCTTCAAATCCTTCTCAAACGTTGTAATTGCAAAGGAATGTCCTGCTATAAAAATTTGATCAAACCAGGTCACGTTTACGTCACGTGACTTACCTCTCTTGGAAGTCAGAGGAGAATTCATTTCATACATAAGACGATGTTGTCTTTAATCCCTTACTATTTATTACAAATATCGATTCCTAATTAAATTCTCGGATTATCCACTACCCGCGTCTTTTTCCGTCATGTCATTTTTATCTCAGAAAGTATTGTACGTCGAACTCTTCATAAAGTTTATCAACTTGTACATCAAGCACTCAATGTTCGCGTGTGACCTTTGACATCACGCGTGCAGAAATTCCTAATCGTCAGCCTGTTGATTGGGGGAACCCTTACATTTTTTTCCTGTATACGCTCCATGAGTGTTTTTCAGGGAATCCAGTATTTTTCTAGTAAAATTGGATATCTCTACTTCCCATATATACCAAAATTACCATACTTTTATTGGAAATAACCACCCGATAAATACTTTTCTTTGAACCCATCTTTAATATGAATGCCGCTTCTTCCATCTCCATCACCATGGAATCAAAGATCAGTGATTTTGTTCTCATTACTAGATTTAGTCCATGAAAGAATGGACAAAAACAATCTTTAAAAATTAAGCAGACAAATCAATAGCTGTCAATTCCTGAGCCAATTTACAATTGTTCATTGTCATTTATGATTATCAATAGCATTTATCAGGGTTGAGCCGGCTGGACTCTTCTGAATTCAAGAGGGGAATGATTAATAGTGTTAACCTCTGATCTCTTTTAAGTCGATATTATCATTCATGTATAGTGAAGATACTGAGAATTTACTGGATTGAGATGGTTTCCACTTGCGAGAGGTACATGATGGAGGGTCTGGCAAGGAACAAGTGCTAGGCAATCGGAAGGGATATAAAAAAAAAAATGAAGTCCTGTGTACACGTTGACATACATGTAAAAGAGAAAGAAAGAAATGGGGTTTAAGGTCCACTCGACACAAACTAGGTCATTTCAGGACTAACATGTTTTTTTTATTTTTTTTTTAATAATTCGCAGTGGGAGGAAACTGGAGGAATCGGAGAAAACCCACGAGATTGGACAGGCAACCCTACTCCTTGTCATGTACAACCGGGGATTCCAAACCATGCCAGTTGACTCAATGACAGGCCTTATGATAAAGTGCCAAGTGCTAACCATTCGGCCATCCAACTCCCCCCCGCCCCTACTTTTCATGACCAACCAGGATAATGCAGAAGGTTGTGATGAACAGAGCAATGAGGTTTACTAAACACTTAAAAAACATTAATCCATTAATTTGCAATTTCTTTAGGTCTGGCAAGTACAACACACAAGATAATCTTAAAAATTGTCACGTTCTTTGAAAAAAATGTCATTCCTGAACCCATCCTCATTATTTCATAAGTAAATAAAAATACCAGATTATTTCATAAATAAATAAAAATACAAACTTACTTTGGTGAAGGCATACTGGAATGATGTGATGGACTGTTAGCAGTACCTTGATTACTCATAGTTTCACGATGATTAGCCGCATCAGGTCCTGATATGTAAGTTACACTGAAATACAACCAATTCAAAATATATCAGGTCCTAATATGAAAGTTACACTGAAATACAACCAATTCAAAATATAATAGGTCCTGAAATGGAAGTTACACTGAAATACAACAAATTCAAAACATATCAGGTCCTGATATGGAAGTTACACTAAAATACAACCAATTCAAAACATATCAGGTCCTGATATATAAGTTACACTGAAATACAACTAATTCAAAATATAATAGGTCCTGCTATATAAGTTACACTGAAATACAACCAATTAAAATATATCAGGTCCTGAAATGTAAGTTACATTTAATACTATATGCTTAACAGTCATTAATCTATTCTTAGAGATATTTTGATAGATAAATACAAGAGTTTCCATGTCAATTTTATATGTTCTATTTGAATTATAGTATACTATTTATATGTCGTATTCTAGAATTTTTTTATATTTCCATTTTATATTGCGGTTATCAAATTTTATCAATCATATAAATATATTAACAATTTGATTAAATCATAGATTCAAATTTCATATTGTCTACTCCATAGCAGTATCTGTGAGAGTCTTTAAATAAATTGCTTTCTGCTTGATGTGGGGGATTAACCTAAGAACTGGTCTGTTTTGAATTTTCGCAGACAGAACAAAATGGAAGTTAAATATTATGCAAGAACTAAATCAGCCTATTGCAAGTTTTGTTTATGGCCTGAAATGTTATCTAAATTATTAAATAGACATTAATTAATGTATCTAGACCACAATCAACTCTCGATGTCATCGCTAGCTTGCTATATTTCTATATTTACTGGATTTGAATACATTGTATGATGGATGATTTAACATCAAAATGGATAATCAAGACTTTGTTTTATTTTCGTACCGACATTAGTAATGATGATTGAGGCTAGGCCAAAAATTCATTCGCTAATATCTTGGTTCAGAGTGGTGGGATTTTACTGAAATTTTCAGCATATTCTCTTTACATTATCTACTTTTTAACTATTATTTCGAGAACTGTCAGCTCTTTATCTAATCTCTCATAATGCTTGTTTAAATATAATTAGTCAACAATACATTATTCAAAGTGAACCTATATGAACACCGATGCCAACTTATTAGATCTATATGGACCAGAGGCCATCGTAAACATACGAAACAAAATTTAGATCTGTGTTTTTTTCATCAGATTAACAAATTACTGTTTATAAATCAATCCATTTTTAAACTTGCATACCTGTACCAAAATATTAGTTTCAAAATTAAATATGATAATTAGAAAAAAACACCTGCTGAAAGAAAGAAGTTATAGTAATGATGTTGTGCTTGTGGCAGGATATGCTTACTCCTTCTAGATCATCTGATACCACTTTTCATGTCCGTTTATGAATACATGAAACACGTAAACACACAATCCTACGCCAATATTTCCATATAGATGATAATCCTAGTCTGTGATGAACAAACACTACACAGTTTCAATAGAATTCAACGATAATAGATGGTAATGATGTCCAACAAGTTCTAAGGTGGGGAACAAAATAGCAGAAGTGTAAATGAATGATAGCCTGGAAATTACATAGACACTATAAACACCATACACATTTTACGCCCTCAAACAGCATGACCAGTACACAGAATGGTTCCTTATTCAATGTCTGATGTGAGAAATCAATACATTTGGTTTGAAAGGAAGCTGAAAGTGTCTAAATTGTCCCGGACAAATTCCTTCGCTGGTAATAAGAATGCCTTATGGGAAGGACCTGATGATTGGTGAACCGGGATAATCAGAAACCAATTGTACCATGTCTTATTGGACTAAACGAATTATGTCTGCTTCTAGACACACACGTTGCTTCATGACTATCTATATGTAGCCCACATAATTCAACCTCAATTAATTTTACATTTAATTTACAGAGATATATTGAAATGCTTTTCAATACAGTTTAATGTTTAAAGCACTGATCTGTAATTAGGTATTTTTCCATGCTAAACTGTACTCATTTAATTAAGATATCAATTGTACTCTCCTCCCAGCTAAACAGTTAACCCTTTCAATGCTAGACGTAAATCCACTGCCTGTGCTAGACCCTTTTTTGAGGAAAAAAGGGAGGTTGGAACTGAATGCCAAGCAGTACTTATGGAAGCTTTTATGAAAAATCTTTTTGTCTGTTGGGATGGGCATGAGGTTGGGCTAAGAGGAAAAAATAGAATTTTGGAAATTTGCATAATAATGTAGTCATGTGACGTCATGGCGGCCATTTTGGATTTCTCATTTCACACTAAAGCTAACACGAAAACGAATTTTTCTCCATGAAATACTTAAAAGATATTGTTTTTTTTACTGGATTTTGATAAAGATATATAAAATGAACAAAAATATCAATAGCAGCCATGAGCAATGCCGCCGCGAACACGTGCATCACGTCTCCCGCTGCCATGACCACGTGCGGATTGCAATACCTTGTTTTTACTTTCACTTTCACTTTCATCCCCAAGTCCCATCATTATCAATATAGTCAGTCAATAGATCTACACGTTCGGGAATCAGGAATTACCTACGTATTTTACGATCCAGCAGGCCAGCATTATTATCAACATCAGAATTATTGTCAGAATCTACTGCAGACACAGGGCTATCGTGTTCACATTGGGCTTGTTCATCATGCACGAGAGACATAGCTAGCCATGGGCGGAACGTCGCGCAACAAATCACACACTTCATAATACCAATCACTGTCCTGACTACTATCATTATCAAGTAACTGGAAACGAATTATGTGTATCACCCGCCTCGAAATTGTCCACATGTTGGTCAGCAAGACGTCATTCACGACTTCGTCGAGAGTGCATCGTCTACGTTGTCACAATGCACTCCGCCATTTTACGGTTTGCTGCTTTGAAACACGTGGAAATATGTTCTAGTGTATAGAAAATACAATAGATGGCACTTGCAGTTACGGTACTAATTTTAGCGAGGGCTTTACTGAGTACACGGTAATACCGGGTACGGGCATTTTACCGACATTTTATAATACCCGGTACTACCGGGTATACGAAGTGAAAGGGTTAATACATGATCATTATTAAGCATTTTTCTGACATTATCTAATTTTTTCCCAGCTGAATCCACGCTAAAATGTACTCAAATTGATTAATTAACAATTAATTAAACATACATTATTCAAGAATTAAATTTACCTATTGCTGGTCTTTCCTTAGGCCTTAAATGTTATATATAGGCCTATTATTAATTAGACATTAATTAACTTATCCAGATTCCAGATCATAATCAACTATCGATGTCATCAGATGCTCAAGATTTTAACTAGATTAGAATGGGTTGGCCATTTCATGATTCAATTTAAAAATGGAACAGGCTAAACTTCGAATATACCAGTCCCCTGGTTACCACAATGCACACATCTTGTCAAAACTACAAACATTGATAACTTGGTTCAGAATGAAGTAATTTGAATGAAATTTTCAATATTTTCATTATCTATTTTAGAAATATTATAGCATGAACGGCCAGCTCTATATCTAAATCTTAGATAATGCATTTAAAGAAGATAAAATATCAAAAGTAGGTACTTTCCCCGACCTGGATTCAAATGGATTAAAAAGTGGCCTGTCTAAAGATTTGACTTAACACTTACAGGTAGTACAGACCTGTTTAAATTGTCGTAAATTCAATTAAAGATACATTATGGGAGATAAGATAAAGAGATGGCAGTTCTCGCTATAATAGTTAAAAACTAGATAGTGTAAAGGTAATTTGCTGAAAATTTCAGTCAAATTGATCCACTATGAGCCGAGAAAGATGCGGGTGAAATTTTTGCATAGTCTCGGTCATCATTACTAAAATCATTAATATAAACAGCATAGTCTCGATTATCCACTTTTTTCTGATTTAATTATCAACGGCCGTTAGCGGCATATAGGAATCTAATCCAGCCAACATCGAAGGCTAGCCTTGACATCGAGAGTTTATTATGGTCTGGATAAGTTAATGTCTAATTGATAATTTAGATAACATTTCAGGCCTAAAGAAAGACTTGTAATAAGCAGATTTTGCTCTTGCATAATGCATGTTTAAGGATGTAACCCTTCAAAAATTATTGAACCAGTTAATCGTAGTTAAAAAACAACAAATGCAACCGGTTAAACCGATTTATTTGCATTTAGTAAAATGTTTTTATTAAAATATTTGTTGTACCACAGGATGACTTGGTGATACATGTTTAGTATTATAACTTTCAAGTTGACTCTCAGTACAAATTCCTTTTATTCATTCATTTTTGATGTTTCATTTCTCTATCTCGCCTGGTACTTTGACAGGTCTTTAATGCAAGAAAATAATGTTGTGGCTACTTTTCCTAGGTTTGAAGGTCAGGTATGATATGAAAACGAATATTGGTTACTATTTTTTTTTTTTAACTGGTTAACCAAGCAGTCATTTACATCCTTAATTTCGATTTATCATACATTAGTAAAATGCTGGATTTGCCCAAAATGAAAATGAAATGGGGTTTAATGTCCTACTGTTCTGCTCCGAACTGGGCTAATGAAGACTCTGGATGTAATATATTATGCAAAATTACCGTAATTACTTTTATCTATGTATTTTTAAACAATTAAACAGGCCGAAATCTATCCTCATTAGAGAGCAATCACATTAATACACACATCATATTTCGTTTCGTTTTTTATAGTTCAAAATTTTGTTTCACTTGTCTTTACTACACTAGGATCTATAAGAGTTGTTATATAACCTGCGTTTTGGTTGAAGTGAGGGATAAGCCAATAAAACAGTCTGTAATGCACCTTCTTGGCGTGCCATTTGCGGAACTGTGGGTAAACCACTAGAATTGGCAACGCTGATTGATTAATCAAAGTCTGATGTCATAGGGTTAAAAGCCGCTCGTACACCCCTTGACACGACCTTCAAGTACAACTTGTCAGATCTTCATGTAGTGTAGGCCATCGAAAGTATAAAAAAACGAGATGAAATATAGATCTGGGCCCTGTTTCTCGCAATCTTAAATAAAGTTAAAAGCCAAATTTTAGTAGATATTTCAATTTTGATTGGCTAAGCACTAAAATCAGTCTAATATTATCCAATCAAATTACTAAAATTTGGATTTTATCTTAGTTAAAATTTCGTGAAACAAACCCCTGTATTTTAATCTATCCTCGTTAGAGAGCCAAAAAACCTCTCGTGTCACATGAGTAGCCCCGAAGAACCATTACATGGTCCTGCCACATGGATAGATATACAGGGAAATATCATTCTGAAATATATCACGTATAACTTTTTCCATTAACCTGAGTAGTCAATATTTGGATATTCCAAGTGCTGAAGGATTAAAGCATTTGACGATAATGAACCATAATGAAATAGGTCTTCAACAAAATCAATGAAAGCAATGACATGTAAAACTGCTGCATGTACTCAATCTATAATGTAATAGCACCACCAGTAGGCAAGACACTGTATTAGAGTCTTTATGCATGATGTTAATACAGCAACTTTCTGTGTGCAATTCTACATGTAACTAATACAGAAGGTAATCTAATTTCTGAAATCTTGCAAATCAATCACAATCGCTTCCCACCATTACTCCTTTGAAAGGATCAAAATGCAATAATGGTAATGGAGAGAGAGAGAGAGAGAGAGAGAGAGAGAGAGAGAGAGAGATTAACTGCACAAACTAGGTCATTTTGGGACTAACATATGGTTTAATTTTATTTCAATAAGAGGGTCTTTAGCAGTGGGAGGAAACTAGGGGACCTGGAGAAATAACCATATTTTGATATAAATTTTCCGTATTCTTGTGTTACAATACAATGGAAACATTCCAGTTAGACGAAATTTGATTTGCTTGTTGAGTTATAGATGGTTTCGACAATATCATTGAACGTGAAAGTGCTGGGAATACCCACCACCAAAGTCGAGTTGAGATAAGTAAATTCGCGTACCGGTCGGCCTAATTTATTGATGTTCAAGGAAATAATATTGGTCCCGTTCGTTCGTTAAACTCCAGAAACGAACGAACGAACGGGACCACTATTATTTCCTTGAACATCAATAAATTAGGCTGACCGGTACGCGAATTTACCTATGTCCCTGCACAGCTCACCATTTTGTAAGGCGTGCGTTATTTATTACACAAGATATGATTGGGTAATACTTGAATAATAATGACATGAATTATAATTATAGCCAATGAAAAAATTGATTATTCAGGTTCGCGGTTGAATATTAGCGACTGTCTTACAGTTTATAATATGCTTTCTCATTAGCCGAAATGACTGCTACACGCGCCATTTTGTGGAATTCATCCAAAAAAAACCACAGAGTGACTTATTCCATAGTATGCCGGCCCCTACATGTGTATTATCAACCGGATCCATTCACTTGATTTGATATTTGTTTATTCGGTGCAACGCCTATTTTCTGTCTTGTCCGCAGGTTTATCGTGTAGATTTTTGTTTTGCGTGTAGTGCGGTCCTCCTGCACTTACTTATTTAGTTCGTAACGAGGAATAAACAACGAGAATTGACTTCTGATGTTTGGTAGAATTTTATTTAGATGTTATTAACGTAATTTTTTGAATATTTTTTGGGGGGTTAAAAATGTAAGCGCACGATTTTCGGGGTCCTCGACCTAAGCGCACGGGCGAGGAGAAACAAGGAATCAATTCAACACGGCCTTAACGTAAAAATGGATAATCGAGACTTTGTTATCATACCAGCGTCTGTAATGACAACCGACTGAGACTAGCCTAAAATTCAAACGCTAATATCTCGGTTCAGAGTGAAGTAATTCGACTGAAATTTTCAGCCAATTTTGTTTTCATCATCTATATTTTAACTATTATAGCGAGAACTGTCAACTCTTTGTCTAATCTTACCTAATGCCCCATTAAAGGGACAATAACACTCTTGCTAGCTTGACAGCCCCAGAAAATAAATAATAGCCTTATTCTAAGTATTAGATGTTTAAGTGTCCTACCTGTTGTGTAAATTATCCATTAAATCCTATTTTACTTGTCCAGAGGGTTCAAAAATATTTTTAAATCCAAGTAACATTTGAAAAGCTTTACGTCAGGCTTTTCAAATCATTTAGTTGAATTTTTCCAATTTTTTAAATTAGGTGTGTTAAGATGAAATTTGTATCATTAATTAATTGGAATATTGTATAATAGTACAATTTGTTGACCAGAATAAAGATTGGGATATATTATTCAGTTACAACAAGAGTGGTATTGAGCCTTTAACTTTGTTTAGCTTGGTTGTTGATGTTAGTAAGTATATGATATTTATAATCTGATTAAAATACTTTTGATGGCCTTACTACATGAAGATCTGACAAGTTTAGTAGGATACCCACGCCAAAAACTTGCTGCAACAGACTGTTTCATTGGCTAATCCCTCACATCATCCAGAACGTGGGTTATTGAACAACTATTTCAGATCCAAGTGTAGTAAAGATAAGTAAAGACAAATTTTGAACTATAAAAACGAAACGAAATAGGATCTGTGTTTTAATCAGATTGCAAAAAAAAGTATGGTATGCCTTTTTTTTTTTACAAACACACTCGACATCAATCATCATATTATGAGGAGCTGACATTGTTTACAAATTTTGTAGGGGGGTTGGATGGCTAAATGGTTAGCATGTGCGCGCTGTATCATAAAGTCTGTCATTGAGTCAACTGGCGTGGTTTCGATTCCCCGGTTGTACGTGACAAGGAGTAGGGTCGCCTGTCCAACCTCGTGGGTTTTATCTGGGTCCTCCGGTTTCCTCCCACTGCTAAAGACCCCTACGCGCAAGCGAATTAATGAAATAAAATTAAACCATATGTTAGTCCCGAAATGACCTAGTTTGTGTCGAGTGGACGTTAAACCCCATTTCTCTCTCTCTCTCTTTACAAATTTTGTAGTACGTTTGAGGTCAGTAATTTACTACTGAGGGACATTCACTATACATAAGGCCCAATTAGCGTGACCATGTTAAAGCACTAAATAACATCAACCCATAAACCAAATTCAATTTTCCATGGCTTCCATGGCTTCAACAAGTGCTGGGTTTCAGCTGGTAGTTTTGTAAGTTGTTGCTTAAAGGCTTCCATGTCATCTCGCCACTAGGTTACTACGTCTGTCACATCAATATTATCAACTAATGGACAATAAATCTTCTCGTCTGGTCACGGTAAAATAGAACCTGCTCCATTCTTAAAGTCAATTAGTTTAAAAGGTAAGGAGAAATGAGAGTAAAATCAGGTCACTTTGTTACCAAAATCTGCTTTTTCTTTATATTATCAATTACAGGAAGTAGTATTTTGCTCTATACTAAAAACCTGAGCAGCAATTAAGAGGTACTGATCAGCAATTTTAGTGTTTTCTACCATTTTCATTGAGATGCTGTTTTAACCCTTTAAAACATGGATGGGCTGAAACTGCGGCTTGATAAATGATAGACTACCTCAAAGAATCATGTGAAACAGCTGTTGACTATTGATGGGTCTGTGATTTGAGGCCACTGGCGGTGGTCAAGAGAGCAGTACTTTCGGGTTCTTTCAAAAATGAGCTAAAAAACTGGGGTGGTCAATGTTTACATGTATCAGTACCCAGTGCTAAAGAGGTAACCTGAACAGTGTAACAAATATTGTTTTCATATGTCCATTGAACACTATATCGTTTCAGGACTAACATGCTTTATCTTATATCTCAATAATCCAAGTATGCAAGAGTCTCTAACAATGAGCTTGGGCCTATGTAAGAAGATCAAACACATGACTTTCATTCAGAGAGATAGAGAGAGAGAGAGAGAGAGAGAGAGAGAGAGTGGTGGTTTAACATCCACTTTATTTCAATAATTCACTTGCATGTAGGGGTCTTTAGCAGTGGGAGGAAACAATTTATGTAAAGATAAACCAACAAGAAATTAAAGTCAGTCATCAACATCCTGAAACTTACCAAAAGTCAAACATGTTTCTCTGGAAACAGAAAAATCATAAAATCCAAGAAATTTCTAATAAGAATAGGTCACAATTGCTATAATAGGTTGACATGTACAAAATTTCAGACAGATATGTTGAACGCCTTATGAGATATATGCTCCGGATTAAAAATGATATATCTAAAATGAAGCCAAATTTGTTTCCATGGAAACATAACAAAAATTATTAACCCTTTCTAACCTCGTCTGAAGTGGGATAAACATGAAACATTCTTTGGGGCTACTCTAACTTCTAAAATAAAACACAGAAATATATATTTACCTGATATCTGTGCTGAGTAGTGACGCTCTTCTGAGAATGGCCCTAGCTTGAGCATTCGTAATTTTTCTCATACTTTCGTTGTTTATGGAGACAATATAATCACCAGGTAATAAGCGGCCATCTTTAGATACAGCACTGCCTTTAGTAATACTCCTTATAACAGTTCCATTAGCACCTTTATCTACAGATTCAACTGTCATCCCTGGAAAAAAAATAACCCCAAAAATTCAACAATTAAACATACATTATGCAAGAGCTAAATCTGTCTATTGCAGGTCTTTCTTTAGGCCTAATATGTTATCTAAATTATTAATTAGACATTAATTAACCTATCCAGACCATAATCAACTCTTGATGGTTATGCTAGCCTGCGATCCTAAGTGGATTATGAGCCAATTTACTGCATAACTTTCCTTCACGATTTAACGATTAAATGGATAATCGAGACTGCTGTTTATTGTACTGCTGTACTGACTTTAGTAATGATGATCGAGGCTAGGCGGAAATTTCAACCGCTTGGTTCTCGGTTCAGAGTGGATCAATTTGAATGAAATTTTCAGCAAATTGCCTTTACATTATCTAGTTTTTAACTATTATAGTGAGAACTGCCAACTCGTTATCGAATCTCCCATAATGTATCTTTAAGATTTAATTTGAAATGTCAATAGTAATAAATTTCTAATTCAGACACCTTGCTGTTCAAAAGAAAATTTAATTAAATTATACATCGTAAGAAATAGTGTAGTATTGGAAAATTAGTTGAGTAATTAAATTTCCAGCGTGGTTTCCCCTGGTCAGTGATTCAGGATGGAGGGCCTGAAAAGGACAGCTGCCTAGTCGTTCGGATGGGACAAAAAAAACACGAGGTTCCGTTGGGTACACATTGGCGTGCACGTAAAAGATCTCTTCGATATAAGAGTAGGCTGTAGCGCTGCTACCCGGGCAAAATTTCCCTCATAGCACACTGTATGGCGTATGCCTGTCTTCATTAGCCCAGGTTAGGAGCAGAACAGTAGGACGTTAAACCCCATTTCATTTCATTTTGAGCAATTAAAAAAAAGAAAGAAAAAAATAGAAACTTTGCCCAATTTTAATCACGTGATAAAATGAATTAACGTCACTGATCAACTCCCTTCTGTATTCACAATCATATGATGAAATGAGAACCTGTAACCATTTGTCATCCTCTACAGATATGGTTAAAACAAGCCAACTTCCCTAAAACATTTTAGATGGACGTTTTTTCAATCTGAATGAAACCAAGCTGGGAGATTATCTACCCTTGACATTTTAATTTTGTTAAATAATCCACTTGAGAACATTTTAGCGTGGATTAAGTCATAAAAAATTAGCTTTTGGTAAAAACTGCCAATGATCTTCCGTGGCACTAAATGGTGATGACAGCCATGGATTTAACTTGACATTCAATTCCCACAGTCGTCTAATAATACTCCTCAAGGTTTTTTTTTAAAGACCAGATGTTGCGAAACTTAAACAATGGGTTTTAATGTCACATTAACGTCAATGAGAGAGGGAGAGAAAGTTAATCAGGATTTTCCAGCGTGGTTTCTCCTTGCAAATGATGCAGGACGGAGGGTCTGACAAGCACAGCTGTCTAGTCATTCAGATGGGATGAAAAACCGAGCTTCTGTGTACATACTGGCATGCACGTAAATGATCCGATGGCAGTTGCAATTTGATATAAGATGTCCATAGAGCCACCATCCGGTCAAAATTTCCTTCACAGCACACTGTATGGCGTATGCCCGTCTTCATTAGCCAATTCAGAGCAGAACAATAGCAAATTAAACTACTTTTCATTTCATTTTCTGTCTTTTCAATGTGCTTAAATCAGAAAGTGGAGCGATTTACTGCGGAAATCAAATACTTACCTAATTGATCATTGCCCTTTTTGATTTTTATAACTTTTTCATAGTTCTGTGGAATAATATCTATACCACTCATCCACGATCCACGCATCAGACTCGGTGAAGCTAGAGGTGACATGCCAGGGGATGTCGATAACCCCGGGGACATCGTTCGTGGTGATAGGGGTGGCGAGGGCATCACTTTAAGGTCACTTGTGGTAAAGCATTCTGATGAAGATGAAACGGAACTATCGGCACTCTCCGATTTTCTATGAGCAACAATAAATCTGGTATTCGGCTGCAAAATAAAAACGGGAAAATGTTGACTATGTCAGGTACGTATCATATTTTCTACTCTATTAATATAATTATCCATTATTTTAAAGAAATTGATCATTTTAAATTGTATTAAATTAACCGTTTTAAAACCTAGAACTGAGCAACCTTCTAGCTCATTGTACTTGGTCAACTTGTTTCTGAACAAGAAGAACTTTCCACTTAGTTAAGCATAATCATGCTAGAAGCTGGACTGAAGACAAATGCCATTTGCTGAATCAGTGTTTTCTCATTCTGTTGAAAGAACACTAACTACTGATGATGTTTTATAAATATTCAGCATTTAATTTTGTAAGGTATGTGTCTTGTATGTTGTATGTATGGTTTATGTTGTTGTGTGAGTTGTGTATACAGTATGTATCTTGTATGTATGGTTTAGTGTTGTGTATATATATAGTATGTATCTTGGTATGGCTTGTAAGTGTTGGTGTTGTGTGTAAATATAGATATGTATCTTGTATAATTCATATTACATGACACTGAGGTTAGATATGGCAACTCTCATGTACTAATATATGTAATAATACACCATTACGGTATATTGTCCGCAATGTCTGGTTTCTGTTCCACAGTTTTCCTGTTGTCTACAAAACATACAATTCTATTTATGTTTCTGAATACAGATTGCTCATTTTCCCTTTAATAAGAGAGAGAGAGAGAGAAATGGGGTTGAATGTCCACTCGACACAAACTAGGTCATTTCGGGACTAACATATGGTTTAATTTTATTTCAATAATTCGCTTGCGCATAGGGGTCTTTAGCAGTGGGAGGAAACCGGAGGACCCGGAGAAAACCCACGAGGTTGGACAGGCGACCCTACTCCTTGTCACGTACAACGGGGGATTCGAAACCACGCCAGTCGACCCAATGACAGACTTTATGATACAGCGCGCGCACGCTAACCATTCAGCCATCCAACCCCCCTCTTCAATAAGAGGAATAGAAATTTAGAATTCCAGAACACAGATCCTTTTCATTTTGAAAATTTAAATTTCCTATCTCACCTTGACATCTGGTGAATCTACGGTGGGTGGTGTAGACTGTAATTTTGGGGATGAAGCAGATTGTACTGGAGGTGTTGATGCTGGTAGACGTGGTGAAGTAGCAGATTGTGCTGGAGGTGTTGATGCTGGTAGAGGAGGTGGAGTCTCATCCTAAAAAACATATACAACTAAGGGTACAAGATGGCTATCTGGCAACACAAGGTCATCCAATGACTGACCTTAACCACAATACAAGTAATATTCAACTATACCTGGACATTTTCAGACATTTAAATGAAATCCAGATTTTTTTTTATCCTTTGAAGTAATATTTGGAGGTCACGGTGGCAGATAACGGCAAAATGAAGGAGAGTATGAGCTCCAGCATACACTTATGGGTATTATGAGGAAGCTATTTATTAGTTGTAATAGTTTAAACTAAAAATATGTAATGCTCTAGTTAACACTAACAAAAATAGAACCCTTTAAAACTGCCGAGAGCCCAGATTTTTCTTTCTTTCATTTATCCTCTGGATATATTGATATGCATTATATTATCTATTGGACTATTTTTTTTTTTTAACAAACAATGGATAGTGTAGATGAAGGTCAGGAGCAATAAGTATTTCTGTCTTCATAAATTTACCAAATACATGATGCCTGGAAACAAGGCACCTGTCACAGACAATGTTTGGCACAGTTTTAGCAATAAATATTTCTAGCTTCATAAATTTACCATATAAATGCCTAGAAAAAAGGAACCTGCAGGCCCATAACTAGAAGGGGGGCACAGGGGTGTGCAGCCTGTAAAATGTTTCGCCCCCCTCCCCCTGTGAAAATATTGTCGACCATAAAAAAAAATAGATATGCATTGTTCGTCAATATAACAGCACCCCTGAGAACACTTCCCATCCCCCTCATTGCTTTTGAGCTAGTTACGGCCCTGGGCACCTGTCACAGACATTGTCTGGCACAATTTCAGGCTTTGTCAGACACTATTCTATTTACCCTGTTTTTATTCATGTTTTAATATATCTATGACAAAAGTCCAGAAGTAAATTTTGGTAAAATAGGGAGAGGGAGGGGTAGTCATTTCTAAATGTCACAAAAGATTGGTGCCAAACTGCCCATCAAAAACTCATTGCAAAAGGGCCATTTGTCCTTGTCACTGGATTTTTTTTTTTTAAAGAAACATTGTTACATTATTTTTGTATTAAGATATTTTCAATTTTAACCTGGGTAAACAAAAATTCCATGTGACTTTTATAGTTGATTCATCCTTGTATGACATTGACTTGGGTAGTAGTTTATATCAACACGTATATTATATATAACTGTGTATTAATGTTTATCTAAAATTAACGAAATAAGCTTGCAGCTATTAAATATTGTTATCACATTTGAAGTAATTTTGTATAATATGAATCGTTATCAACTAGTTGATAGATTTAGCTTATGGCAGCCTAACTTCTTATCAATAAGTGAATGTTTCTGTGCTTGAGGTGTTATTCTTTATAACAATGGGAATGAGAGTTCGGCAAAGGTTCTGACTTCCCTCGAATCCCGTAAAGTTAGATTTTCAATCTAAAAAGCACCAAATAGTGTCTGATTTTCAACAATTTCTCATCCAACAAGGAGTGAAAATCACCCAGACCCCTCCCACCCACAATAAAAGGTCCATTTTTCACTCAGGGTCCTCCACTTTTTGAAGAATGAGATTTTATGACCTACTCCCGGCTATCTCGTGTACTCCTTTAAAACAAAAAAAGTTCAATAGATTGTGGATAAATCTATCAATATTCATGTTATGTTCATCCACCCTGTGGATACCTTGGTAAAGAATGTGACGTGACCTCCCGGGTTAAATAATAAAAATACCAATGATAATAGCAAATAAATTCTGATCTCAAATCAATAAAGATGATTTGACCGGGACACATTCTGAATATCATCAAACATAAATATGTATTAATCTTACAGTATAATATTTTTTTTTTACCCCAGGAAAAATGTACATATTATCTTCTATACATTTTATTAGTAGATTTTTAATATAAAGAAAAAACAAAAAGTTATTTTTGTAAAGAAGAAAACAAACCCAAAGGCCCTCAACATAGTAAAAAAAAAAATATAAAAAATGTCTATTGTCAATAAAAAAAAATTCAACAAAATAAAATAAAACCTACCCCCATATAAAATTTAGTATAAAATCTGTTAAAACATTCAATTTTCACTTACTGGTATTTCATAAAAGAAAATGAGAAGATAAAAAAATTGACATTTAATGCAAAAAAAAAAAAAAAATAAAAAAAAAATATCACACATTCACACACAACAACTAGCACATTACAATCATGCATGAAATCAAGCAATCTAATTTTTTTTTTACCTTTTTTTGTTTTTTTCTGTAGGTTGAAGTTCCTTGTCGACTAATTATACTTAGTGTCCGAGGTTTACGACAACAAAATGCATGCATACCGGTGTTTGTTGTTGACTTTTAAGCAATGTTTAAATATAGACTAGATCATTTATTTGTAACACAAAGTTGGTCATATAGCAGTCAGTATACTTTTCACTCCTTCAATAATCACCTGTTACAACTGATCTCTCCAATCACTTTTTAATCCCAAACTCAGTTTATTAAGGAACACTCATCTTAGTTACTAAGGAACACTCATCTAAATTTTCATGAACATGAACTCCATATTTTTAAAAAATCTTCAAATCTGAATATGATGGAAATAACTTTTAACGTAATCCAGTTGTTTATTTTGTGATAACACCTGTAGATTTACTGTATAGTCATAAAGATGATATATATATAATAATTCCAACTTTCAATTTTTTCTTAATTACACCTAATGGTAATCAACCATTCATCTCTCTATAAATCAGCTATTATATCTATCCACGGACATCACAGCCTAGGAGTTCAATAAAACATCGAATAAACCAGACTTCATGTAACTCAATCCAAAATCCAAAAGTCCTAAACTCATCAAAAATATCACACCAAGATAATTGGAAATTGAGAAATTGGAAAAGCTGAATACTGAATAATGTTGTATGAATCACAGGCCTAGAGCTATCCAACAATTGTAATCTATATGACCAACACCTACATTCATATACTGATGCTAAATGTCGACTAATCCATCTAGATAATTGGAAAATCACCCAAAGTCCTTTAGCATTTTTGTCTTACTGAATAAAGAGCAAGAAATGAGATTTAATGTCCACTTGTTCCTGCATCATAACTATCTATTATTATAATGTCTGTTTACACCTGAACTACACTAAATAGATACAATTATAAATTTGTAAATGCATATAATTTTAAATCTTTCTAATGCTGATACTATAGAACACTATTACACATAATTCATTCAAAATCCGGAAATTTAAAATTCTCTATTTATCTAAAACTGGAACTCCGAATCATTCTAGACCTTAAATCACGCATAACCAAGGGCTGTACTAAACTCCCCAATAAGTACTAATAACTATATGTTATTCATATGTTCCTTAAAGTAAGACAAAATCAATGATAACCATCAAGTCATAATGTCCTTCTTCATTATAAATGTAATCATCCATGTCATAACCTGTTTAGAGAGTACACCATACTCTACCCTTTTAATCAACTCTCTCTAATCAATTCTTTCATAATTCACATCGTTGGTAAATAAAACGTAAATCCGACTAATAGCAGCGTAAAATATTCCAATCTATAATTCCAGATTACATGTAATGTACACACTAGGAGTGTTATTTAAGCCGTATTTCACAGTCTTGTTAATCTTGGGTAAGAACTAAAACCCAATTTCGCTCCAATCATACACTTCTCTATTAATAACAATAACGAAAGCTGACTGAGAATTATTAGATTAATTTTGCACTAATTAATGTTTATAAGGCAACAATCCAACCTCGTGGGTTTTCTCCAAGTCCTCCAGTTTTCTACTACTGCTAAAGATCCCTACACGCAAGCGAATTATTGAAATAAAATTGAACCATTAGCTAGTCCCGAAATGACCTAGTTTGTCGAGTGGACTTTAAATCCCATTTCTCTCTCTCTTATAACCAACAAATTCAGCAATTCAAATAAGCAATAGTCAACAATTAGTTTAATACAGTCCACTGGATAAACATATCAGGCCTTTTAACTACCAGGCAGATTATTGTCGTTTTCATCCCAAAAAATTTTAACATAAGCAGTAAGCATATTTAGTTTACGGAGTCCAAATTAAACTTTATACTGTCCTCCTATTCTTTAGCAATTTACATGTCAATGTTCGCTAAAATTTCAGAGGCGTTATCATCAAATAGAATCAATACTAAAATCGTGACAGAATATCAGCTCTTTACTGATAAATGTATTTTTATTAGATGTTCGTCACCCTTATAAATCAATGTCATTCTATTAATCAATTTATAATGAAGATAGGACAACTAAGCGGGGATATAAAAGAGGCAATTGCAGAAACTTATCTTTAACACACATCACCACAAATTTGTCAACCTGGAAACTCTCAAAATAAAACAAATCGTAGCTATATGTAAGATAAACTTTTACTAGAAATAGACCAGCGAGGAATAAACTTCAATTAATCAATTCGTACATTATAAATCCTAAAACATCTCAGATAAATTAATTATTAAACAAAAATTTTCAGTCTCGCAATTTCAAGACAAAACCATACTTACATTGTTCAAATAAAATTCTTTTTGTAAAACTTTTTGTCTTACTAACAATTTTTTCAAATAATTATTTAATTAAAGTTTTCAAAGAAGAATTTCAAATTTGCACATATTCAAACACAATCACCATGTCTATATAATATTCTTTTCTGTTCGAGTTTTTAAATAAACTGAAGAATTCTTCGATTTTTGGTGTAAACATGACTATTGACTTGCAAACTGTGGGTCTATTGACACAAAGATGTTGTGTATCTTTTGTTAATTAGTTTTCCTAACTGAAGAATGTTCCTGACACCTTGCACATGTTCATTGTGTGTAGAAACAAAGATTGCTTTGTTGTTGTTCCACAATTTTAAGTTCTGGTAATCATTCAGGAGAGGGAGAGAGAGAGAGAGAGGGGTTTAAGGTCCACTCAACACAAACTAGGTCATTTTGAGACTAACATATGGTTTAATTTTATTTCAATAATT